AGAGCATGGCTCTGCTCTGACTCATATGAGGTGGCCATGATTTGGAGTTGACTAGACCGGGTGCGGTGGGTTAAATTCTGAGCCCTCTATTGCAGATGGCTAAGGATGACGGTGAAAACTTAAAATAGATTTTCAGAGTTGTCCCCCTCCCCCAAGTGGATTAAGCCTCTATTGAATTCCTTCTGATAATTAATCAAGGATGTACACACATCATTTTGCCCTCAAGACCAGTGCATCTGAAAGGAGATTATATCCACCCTTCTCCAGCCAGCCCAGGGAGGGCCAGTCTCTCTTAGGGGCTTGCCTAGGTGTGTCCTTGATAGGGATCAGCATACCAGCGACAGTACAGAGCTCAGTTGCATGGCCTGAGTCGTACCTGATCAATCGTGTCCTGACTGCCTCGGTTGAAAGTTTCTGGACCAGTTTGTGGGCTCTTCTACCTGACATAATGCACCTGTCTCAATTATGGTCTTTTCCCCTCTTCTGTAGCCCAATCTGTGATGGTGTTGTGTCAATCTGCGCTCAGTTATGAATTTGTGACAGTTTCTGTGCCTTATTGAGCAGGAGCTCTGATGGCATAAGGGTTACACGCTGGCCTGCTAACCACATTGTTGTTCGCAGGTCAGAAACACCAGTTGCTACAAAGGCGGGTGAAAGTGAGGCTTTGTACTCCCATTAAGAGTTACTGTCTCGGAAACCCACAGGGGCATTTTGCCCTGTCCTGTAAGGTCCCTGTGGGTCAGAGTTGACTTGAGGCAATGCGTTTGGTTTGGTTTGGGCTTATTTAACTAGCATCCCAACTGTGAATCCTAAGATGGCATATGGACATGTGCTAATGACCTCCCTCGTCCTGATGATGTGTCTGTTTTTATTGTTGTCTTTGTCCTTTTTAAGACATAGTGAATGTTCTCCTTCAATTAGATTTGAGATTGGGGTCTCTTTTACACTATAAAACAACAGCAACTTGTTTTTATGCCAAAGTAGAATTAAGAAAGAGCTTTAAGCTTATAAAAGTTTCATCAGTCAGAATGTTTCCCACTAGACCAGTCTCAAGTCGAAAAACCTACTGAACTCCCCACCCACCCACCCCCACCCCACTAATACTTCCCTGGAGACTCACCTAGATTCACTTCCAGTAATGGCCATCTTTTGTTGGGAGAAAAAGCTCCAATACTGAGGCACTTCTCAACCTGGGTCTCCTGGCCCCAAGAAAAAACACACCTTTGTTAAGAATGTGCTTGGTTGATTTATCACGTGTCATTGATTTTTGTCTGGGAATCAGAGAGGGAAACTCTCCAGGGATGCCACTGACATTCTTACGTGACCCTCGTTTTAATGGCAAAGCCCAGGAATATCCCTTTTTAATGCTAATTTCCTTCCCTTTCAAAGAAAATGGCCCTGAAAATTCTGTAATTTTGTACAATGACCCTGTTGCAATTAGCAGGCAAGGACAAACTCTGCTGTTGACTGCACTGAAAAACCGTCTGAAAATGCACACGAGTCTAATGGCATTTGCAACCTCAGCCTTTCCAGAGATTATCAGCACACCTCTCGCACACACTGGACTCTACTCTCCTGGCCATTCATGGTGTGGTGTGGCTGGCTCTGCCCCTGCTGGCACACCAGGGGAAGGCTTTTTTGTTTTCTTTCTGTTCTTATTCAAGAAATCGATTTTTGTTTGAGGAATTACATGCTTGCTTCAGATGGGGTTCTGGGAGGTGGTTAGCATTTCCTTGCCTTTTTTCCTCTTTCTTTTTCTGACTGCTTTATCTTAGGACAAATTTCTCAGGAGTTTTTCTTTCTTTTAATTTGGTTTCTCTGTGTTTTTCATCATTAAGAGAGTTAATATGGAGGATTAAGGTTTTTTTCTGTTACTATTCATTTTATGTATATAATTAATATGTATGCATATGTGTGTGTGTGTGTATACACACACACACACCCTTTTCACAACTCGAACAAGATCTCAGTTTCATCAGTTTTAGGACTAAAATTGTGTGCCCTTCTGAAATGACTGGGAACTGCTCTGTAATCAAGCTGTCTGTTACCTTGTAATGCCCCCTTTGTCTTAGGCAGACATTTCAAAGAATTGGCCCAAGTTGCAGCTGGGATTGTCTGGTTGCCAGAGAACTAAGAGGATTCGGGGCATCACTCGGGGCAGACAGTTCATTCTTCCTTGGAGGCAGTTGTCTTTCATTGACACTTGGCAAGATAAAGAGTTTCCTTCTCTGCTGTTAATGGAACAGAAGCCACAGACACTGGATGTGTTGAGAGAAGCTGGCTTACTCTGCTCCGAGAAGGCAGCCCCTGCAGTTTCTGGCTCTTTATTCCTCTTGCCAAGGAGCCGGCCCTTTAGCTGCGGGGTCTTGGTCTCACGTCTGATGCCAAATGCCACAGTGCTGTTCCATTTGGTAACACTAATAGCTTTTCTCACAATTCCACACAAGGGGAGGTGTTTATTTTTCCTGCTCTTTCTGCCTATTTGATGCACTGCCTCTGTTGTGTCCAGTCTGGTGGGAATGTGCGTTCCTTTCAGACAAGGATCGAAGGAAGATGAGACAGTAGCAGACCACAGTGCTATAAGACGAGCAACATGACCAGCTATGAAGCAAACCGATGCACAATTCCAAGTCCTCTTTCCAGGTCTGCTGAATTTCTTAGGAACCACCTGGGAAGGGATGGCTAGGCTCAGTCTCTGAATTAGGGCAGGTTTATTGATCTGAAACGCTGCTGTGGTCAAAGTTAAACGTGAGTGACCGCTCATTGGCCTTTATAAACATTGAAATGCAATTATTTTTCGGATAAGCTGCCCCTGCGTTGGCCCCAGCTCAGCTCACAGTGGACTGAAGCACTGCACACTTCTTGCCATCTCCAGGAGTCCCAGCAGGATAGTCATGACTTGTGGGGCTGCTACCTGCAAGTTCAGCAGTTTGAAGTCACCAGCCGCTCCAGGGGATAGATATGGGGCTTTCAAGGGCAGTTGGGCCCTGCCCTGTGAGGTCACTATGAGTTGGCAATCTCTAGTGGCATATGCATTATGCATAGGCCTGCTGGCCATAAAGTCAGCAGTGTGAACTCACCAGCTGCTCCGTGGGAGAAAATAAGGCTTCTGCTTTCATGAAGATTCGTAGTCTTGGAAACCCAAAAAGACTTCCTTCTGGATGTCTTGTATAGTCACTATGAGTTGGAATCGATTTGATGGGTGTGAGCTTAGATTTGGGGTTTGGGTTGGTTTACTGCTTTCCCCATGATGCATTGCCGATAGGATCATTATAATCCGTAGAGCTTTCATTGGTAACTATTCAAAATCATATCACCAGTACTTTATTCCTAGTCTGTCTTAGTCTAGAAGCTCTGCTAAAACCTGCTAAGTGACAGAGTCACGTATGAGCCTCGCCTGACAGACTGTGAGGTGACTGACTGTGAGCTTTATGGACTAGGTATCAAACCCAGGTCTAAAAAGCAAACAAAGAAACCACAACAAAACTCAGTGCCATCTGGTGGGTACCAATGCACAGCAACCCTATAGGACAGGGGAGAGCTGCCCCTATGGGTTTCCAAGACTCTTAACTCTTCATGGGAGTACAAAGCCTCATCGTTCTCCTAACCGAGGTCTACACCCTGTTTTTAAAGTCAGGATGGAGGTTATGTACAGGGAAATACGTTCTGGGTAGATGTGGGTGGGGGAAAGCAGGGGAGAGATGTCGTCCTCAAAGGAGCAGGCTGAGAACACAGAACATTGTTTAGGACAGACTACAGGATCTTTTGATGGGTTTCCCATTAATTATTTTTCCCTCCCACTGCCAATCACATTTTCTATTTTCATCTCTTTTCTCTTTTAAGTCTAGGAATGTATTTATCAGCTTCCAGGCTATGGAAAGGAATCTTGCTCTGTCAGAACTTGAGACACGCTTTGCCACAGGCAACACTGCAGCCGATGCGCACCTCCTGTCCGCTCACCGCAGTGGAAACACCACTGCTTGGCTCACTTTGGTTGTGTTGTGTCTGTGAGAAACTCTAATGACATTTGCAAAGAGAGCCATCCTCTGTCTCCTCTGGGATTGAGTTTCATTTGTATGGCATGTTAATAAGAATGTGAGCGAGATGGTTGTGTGTGGAGTAAGGGTTGATTGAAGGATGGTATGTTTACAACTTCTTTCTTTAAACTTCTTCCAGAAATATTTACATGCCTGTCCTGAGTTGGGGGGGATGCACCTAATGGTAGTTTTACTATGTTAATACCTTTTATTCAGAACTGAAGGTGGTGACATACACTTTTAGCCATTTGTGTAAAATGAGTATGATCTCAATCCTTTCATTAGAAAGAAACAAAACCAAGCCAAACACATTCTTTCTGATGATCCGTTTATCTCACACCTTTTATTAGAAACCACAGAAATTTAAGATTTAGATATCGAGTTTAAATTTAATCTTAATTGAAGAGAATAATGCCTATATCATTATTTCCTCCTGGAAAAAAAATCTATTAGTAGCAAGAAGTTACAGACTATTTTATTTTTTGTTTATAGATTAGCAAAGCAAATACCTTCATCTGCTTTTATCTGTGACAAAGAATAAAGAAATTGTAAACATATGGACAACAGTACTCCAACTTCACAGTAATCCAACTCACATTAATCTTGAAAAATGCTTATTCTTCACCTTCATTCTACAAAAATAGGTTTCGTGTGTATCATCTACCTACTGCATTGTAAGCACTATTGAAGGTCATAGACATTTCCTTGCTTCCTTTCTTGAGTTCTCCATGACACTTCAAACGGACCAAGCCAAACTCACTGCCATTGATCGAGTTAATGCCAACTCATGGTGACCATTCTAATTATCGGGCTCAGTGATAAATGAAATTTCAGTTGGGTGCAGATTATAATCTTACATGGTGTTCTGGTAAATTTGACCTTCAAAAGAAAAACCGTGTTATATACCAGTTCTTGTTATTGCTCTGGATTTTGAAATGTGCCACAATTGTGTTTTGATTGTAGGTCCATATTGTGGAAGTCGGGCAGTTCCCAGAGAATTCTTACTGAACACAAGTGAAGTGACTGTTCGCTTTAAGAGTGGACCCCATATTTCTGGGCGCGGCTTTTTGCTGACCTATGCCACCAGCGATCATCCAGGTATAGCACGAGGCTCAGCTCGAATCTGGAAACCGATGTAAGAATGTCCTCGTCTCTGGACAGAATTGTAACCCCAGATCGAGAATTAAGATGTGGGGGAAGAAGGGAAGGTGGTATCGTTGTCAATAGATAGATGTGAACAGAATCATTTTATAGTATTAGATTGATCAGCTGATATGTGAGTATGATAGGTATGATCTCTTTTCTCTGGGAGCCTTCAGGAATGCATTCTGGCTGCCCTCCTGACCCTTTTGAGGCCTGGCAATTCCTGAGCCCTCCCTGTACTCTTCCTCCCCTCAGAGTCCTGGTCTAATCAACTGCCCCTCTCCCACACCTCCTCTGGGAAGCATGTGCAGTCAGGGGGGGATGAGGAAGACATGTCAACACTGGGCCTAAGTGTGGCGGGGCAGGGACACAGTAGAAGAAAAGGGAGCAGGAACGTCAAGAGTGAAGTGTGGCTGATGCCTATGTACCCCATGGTAGTTACTGGAGCGTACCCCACTCTCCATGGCAGTTAGTGCAGCATACCCCACTCTCCAAGGTAGTGACTGCAGCACACCCCACTCTCCGGGGTAGTGACTGCAGCATACCCCACTCTCCGGGGTAGTGACTGCAGCATACCCCACTCTCCATGGCAGTTAGTGCAGCATACCCCACTCTCCAGGGTAGAGACTGCAGTACACCCCACTCTCCAGGGTAGAGACTGCAGCACACCCCACTCTCCAGGGTAGTGACTGCAGCATACCCCACTCTCCAGGGTAGTGACTGCGGCACACCCCACTCTCCAGGGTAGTGACTGCAGCACACCCCACTCTCCAGGGTAGAGACTGCAGCATACCCCACTCTTCAGGGTAGTGACTGCAGCA